GTGCATGGGGCACCTAGGGCATTGGGAAATGAAGGCATCCCTTTGGGCTCCACCCCTCTCATGTGGAAATTGTTTTCATGGATGCATTTCTTTCAGACAGGTGAGCTATGTGAAACCACATCATTGCCAGTGATGTCTGGGTCTTCAGAATAAGTGTCATATAAAACTACTTAAGCTACATGCAGTTCAACTACATTTCAGGGATTTCCTTCCTGCCCTGAGAGGGAAACATGTCATTGTCTGGTCAGACAACACTTCTACAGTCTACCACACAAACTATCAGGGCTCACAAGATCTATGAAATGAAAAAGCTTCCTGGATGGGAGGCAAAACGTCTTCAAACTTGGAACAAAGTCCAGTTGATTGTTTTTTTTTTTTTTTTACTTTTTTGGAAATATCCATGCACTCAGTGATGGAGGATCAGAACCTTCTCCAGTAGATATCATCTGCCAGAACCTTGATATGGACTTACTCTTCAAACAGAATTGTTGCTGGGATAGTGCAGACTAAATTCAGTTTTTCAGATAATCTAATGTACCGTATAGCATATAAGAGGTTGAGCTCTTCGCCTCAAGCAAAGGAACACATTGTCAACAGTGGACAAGAAAGTCAGCTAGGGCAGGATGCGCTGGTACTCTTGTAACCAGGCAGTTGGGCAGATTGTCTTTAATGTGCGTCCGACCTCTACTAGGACACTTTATGTTAACAGAAGAAGGTTGTTCATCAGGTTGTGTGGCGATCAAAGTTTTAACCAGGACACTGCCATCTGCCAATACTATTTAGCTATTTACAAGAGTTACTGTCTCCTCTGTCAAGTTCTACAATCTCAATCTTTGTGAATGGTTGGTCAGTGGGTTGATGTTCTCTGGTATGGTAATTCTGGTAGTTTTTGGAGAGCTTTCATTTTCTGCTGTTTGAGCCAGTTGAAAGTGCTGTTTTTCACTAGATTTTGGTTAAAGTGCTTGTGATTTACTCCAGAAAGCAGGTGGAGGACATCAGTACTGGGAACAGTTTGTTGTGGAATTTTGACAAGTCTGGTGTTACTTCATCACCCGACTCATCTTTTTTACATTAAAGAATTTCTGGCTTTGATGTTAAACAGCCAGCCTCTGTGTTTGCCACCTAGGGAACTGGTCTGAAAATATCCATTCCCAGGTCACTGTGTCTGTTTAAATGTTTGGGCAGTACATCAAGTCACAGCTAGGATCTGCAAAACAGATGCCTTGTTTGTTTACTATTGCGGGTGCAGAAAGGGCCATTCTGTGTCCAAACAATGCCTCTCACTTTAGGTAGTTAATAGATCTGAAGGTTAAATGCCATTTCAGAGATATGTACACCTCCTGGGCTGTGCTAAGGAGTGCGTTGTTGAGTGACATTTGTGCTGTGGTTATTTGGGCTTTATCTTGTACATTTGCCTGCTTCTCCAGGGTGAATGCTGCTACAGGGTGAATGACTGTGATGTTATTAGACTACTCCAAAGGCCTCTGATGTATGATAAGTGCTGACTCCTGGTGATTTTGTTGGTATTATGTCATCTAGGCCTAAGCCCTATCCTCTGCCGATCAGGAGGAATTAAATGAAACAAGGGTTACATTTCTAACAGGTTCTATGAATTCCAGATTCCAGACCTGCAGAGTTACTTATCACTCAGAGTTTTGCAAATACATTCTAAAAAAACTGTGCTGGGTTTGTTGGGTAGAAAAACCTACTACATCCATCAACCAGGTCAAGTCCAGTGGGTTGACATGGTTAGTACATACCGTATTTTCACGACTATAAGGCGCACTTAAACGTCTTTTTTTCCCCTCAAAATGTGCGGTGCGCCCTATGGTGCGGTGCGCCCTATGTGTGTTGTAACTGCGACTTTTGAGACCACCTCATTGAGGAGATGATGAAAGAGTGGCTGAATGTAAGGAGACCAGGTGTTTTTTTTCCACTCATCACCATCGCTGTTAATATGTAACTCCATGCGTGCCCATCTCACAGCTGATGTGAAAAACATGGGGAAACAAATTAACCCTGTGCTCGCTGTTCAACCGCTCGACATCGGTGTGAACCGGACCCAGCAGGTGCAGCAGAATCAGCGAGTTTACATGCAAAGTCAATGGTTGACGCGCGTATAGGTGCAGCAAAAGGTCCCGCAGCGCGTTTTGAGCTGCAGGTGCAGCACGTCGGGAGCGTTTAAGCATCTGACGCACCGCCAACGCGCTGCTGCTGCTCGAGATGGAAAAATTGAAGTTTTGCTGCTGGACGCGCCGCATCAACCAATCAGAGAAGATGATCTGGGAGCTGACAGCGAGACAGACACAGCGCTCTGATGACATATGAACGCAAATGAAAAAGGCTGGATGGATGAGATGATGAAAGCGTGGCTGAGGGAGGTGTATGTGAGGAGTGAGGAGAACAGGTGTTTTTTTCCACGCATCACCATCGCTGCGTGCCCATCTCACAGCCGATGTGGAAAAAAAAGGTGAATCAAATGAACGCTGTGCTCGCCGTTATCCCGGGGGGTCTGACAAAGGAACTTCAACCGCTCGACATCGGTGTGAAGCGGCCGTTCAAAGTAAGGCTGCGAGCTGCGTGGGAGCGATGGATGACCGACAGAGACCACAGTTTCAGGATAAGTGGAAGGCAGCGCCGGGCAAGTTACGCCACCGTTTGCGGATGGATTGTAGATGCTTGGACTAACGTGTCTGCTGGCACTGTTGTTCAAGCTTTTGCAAAAGCCGGCATTATTTCTGAGGAGCCGCGCTGCACGGAAAGTGACTCTGACAGCGAAGAAGGGGAAACTGGCATGTCTGATTTAGCGCAGCTGTTTAATTCAGAAACAGAGGATGATGACTTTGATGGGTTTGATTAATACTTTGTAATAAATACATGAATAAAGCACAATCATACTCAGTTTTGCTCCCGCTCTATTTTTCTACCTGAAAACTTAATTCAACAGCAGCCTCTGGGCCGGGTCTCCTCCTCTTCACCGCGGTGGCTGGCTTTTTAAGTGAGAAAGTCCACCTGAAAACTTAATAATTGCAGTCAGTTCATCCAGATTATCTATTTTTGTCGGAGGCGCTCAGACCCCCACATACCAGCGGTGCACCGACAGTAGAAATCCTTTCATCAGCAGCCTCTAGGCTGGGCAGCCTCCGGGTTCACGCGGTGGCTGGCAGGTGTTTTTCATCTAAATAATTTTAGCTGCAGGCACCAGGATACCGGTAATAAAAGCGAACATATTCCGTCGGCAGGTTTCAGGATTTTAAGTTAATTTAGGAGTGACCACAGCGCTGTATCATCTGCGATGTGTCTGTCTCACGGCCAGCACCCAGGTTTGATTAATACTTTGTAATAAATACATGAATAAAGCACAGTCATACTCAGTTTTGCCCCCGCTGTATTTTTAAATACGCAGTAGAGGTATTTAAAGGTAGTAGAGGACATGTACCTGTATATAAAAAACGCGCCCTATAGTCCGGTGCGCCTTATGTGTGTGTTAAATACAGAAATGGGACACATAACTGAGAGTGCGCCTTTTAGTACGGTGCGCCTTATGGTCGTGAAAATACGGTATATTTTTGACTTCTGTGCTGCAGATATGTAGATATTCAGGTGCTAATCACCATCCTCTGGTGGTCATTCGGAATTCATAGGATTTTTCTTATATACTGTACTTAACCCAATTTCGACTGCTACAAGAAAAATGGACAGTGAAAATCAAATGGACGTTTGAAAGTTTTTTTTCCTCCCTCTAACAGGATAAGACTGATATGCTCCCAATTTCAAAATGCATTACATGAGCAGGTGCAGGCACAGGCATTTTAACGACAAAAATAAATGCACTATGATCATCTCATTAAGCTGTAAGTGCAACAACTAAAAGCAGCAGAGTTCTCAGAATTTATTGAATGAAAATTGTTTTTCCATTCCCGAGATCACAAGACTTGAACACTGATGCTTGCAAATACTCTCCAACTAAACTGTCTGAGCTTTATTTATTTTACAAATGATTACGAATATAAGCTCTAGATGTGTCATACAGCTGGTTAAAAGAACCCTGTGTTACTCATGCTGTATATTAGGTGAAACATGATTCAATAAACTATCAAATGGGGCTGAATACAAATGCATGTTATGCTGTATGAGATTTATATTTTTAAATATGTAAAGACTAAAAAGTATGTACTATATTGTGCTGATTCTTCATGTAAAAGTATAATATAGTACATCATCATCATAATCATCACATAAAATCATCGTCTTAAGAAGAATTTTTAAACAACAATAAAGTGTCTTACCTACAAAAAGTACATTAAAAAAACCCTATGAGTTACTACAACATTTAACTTCTATTTCAGATTGAATAAGGTATTTTTAAAATTTTAATTGAACATAATTAATGTATGGCTGTAATGTATGTATGGCTGCTCAGTTATGCAGAGGGTAGCACCTCCTTTCAGCAAGAAGGTTCTTGGTTAGATTCCCAGCCTGGGGTTTTTCTGCATGGAGTTTGCATGTTCTCCCAGAGCATGCGTGGCTTCTCTCCAGGTACCCCGGCTTCCTCCCACAGTCCAAAAACATGACTGTTAGATTAATTGGCTTCTCTAAATTGTCCTTAGGTGTGAGTGTGTGTGAATGGTTGTTTGTCTCTGTATGTCTGTGTTTCCCTGCGATGGACTGGCGACTTGTCCAGTGTTTACCCTGCCTCTTGCCCGTAGACAGCTGGAGATAGGCACCAGCACCCCTCGCAACCCCGCTTAGGATAAGCGTGACAGAAAATGAATGGGTGGATAATTAAGGTATTCAGTTCTCAGCTGGAAAGTGAAAGAGATGTGAATAAGTTTGGAAGGCCTTGATTTACAAAATAAGAGATATTATGAAAAAATACAAATACAAATAAAAATATTAATAACTTTAGCTAAACATAAAAGTCAGGTAATTGTATGATCTTTATTGAGTAAAACACTCATCAAAGTGAGTTGGTTGACTTGAGTCTATCCCTTTCTTACCCTGTGCCTTGACATCATCCACAGTTGGACATGGAGTTTTGATGGTGACCTCACTTGGACTGGAGCGCCGTCCTGTATTGTCTACAGCCCACAGACGGAACCTGAAAACATAAGCAAGCAAACCAATAAACAAACAATTAAACAGGTTGAGGGTAATATTGAGGAAGTCAGCTGGTTTGGTTTATGGGGTTTTCTATTTAAATAACATGCTGCTGTCATTTTGCACATCTCTGATGTTGCTGCTATTTTCAAACATCCATAACTGTAAAAATGTCCATAGCTGTATATTGGTTATTTATTATCCAGTTGAACAGTTTTTATATTGTTAAAACACTTTACAGTACAGTGTTTTATTGCTTATCTTATAGCTCTTCACTATTATGTTATTGTTATACATTTTTCTAAGGTCCATATTTGTGTGACCATTTTATCTTTAATCTTTTTGCTGCTGTAAACACCAGAATTTCTCTATTGTGGGACAATAAAGTTTTTTTTTTATTCTATTCTAGTCTATTCTATAGAAGAAATTCTGTGTCACAGGATCTGTAAGCAGTGTTCATCTGTTCTTCTCAATTAATTTTCCTGATTTCATCACAGTTTTAGGAGCAACAATCTGACAAAACAATACTGGCTGGTAACCCAATAAATTCCACAATGTAAGGAAAGCAGCTGCTATCATCATTACAGAACTTGCTACAACTAGATGCTCTTGTTAGGCTTTAGCATCCTTTCTTTGTAGCTTCTATGTTCTCTTTCCCTGAATGAATATCCCCACCTTGTGGTTAAAATAAAATTTGCAGTCGGTGATCCATTTAGAGACAGTAAAGACGAATACATATCTTTTGATATGACTGTTCAAACATTATTCCACCAAAGGCTGAATTTCTTCTACTGGCGTTCTTGGCTTTAAGCTTTCATAAAGTCAAGCACAAATTTCCCTTCACATAAGGATTTTGTCCAACCAGGCACCACACACTCTCAAGCTTTTTTTTTTCTGGTTTGGTCTGTATTAGAAATGTAAAGGGCCTGCAGCCGCCTGAGAGGGATAAGATGAACAGACTTGCAGAGATGAATGAGCTGTCAGTTGGGATAAAAAGAGCAGGATTCTTGTGGATGTTGGAAATAAAAGGGCGTGTGTAGTGGTTAATTCAGCCCATATACATCCAAAGTCTGTGTGCTCTGTTGGATTCTTGTCCTTTTCTTCTTATCTTTTTTTTATGTTCATAGTGTTTCTTTCTGTGCTTCACCTTTAAGTGTTTTTTCCTACTTTATTTCCCAACAAAAAAATTGATTTAATGTCTCTTGGCCATCCCTCTTACCCCCTTTTCTATTCCCCGGTGTGTTTTGTTCCCTCTTTCTAAAGTGTGTGTGGCTTCCTCTCTGGCATGGTTTGTATGAGATAAGTGTGAACATGCTTGGGAGAAAATCGAAGTATCCGGTCTTGATCACGGCATCACATGTTGAGGCTTTTTTACTCTGAAGGCAAACATATGCGTGATACTAAAATCCATTTGAATGAAAAATGGAGTGATACAGGATTCCTTGTTTTCGGGCACAATTTTACCACAAGCTAAGTTGTAATTTACTTTTGATTTTTATTTTCATGATGTATTTAAAGAGCAACCGATTTTTAGGTGTATTCTTTTTTCAGATGTGCTGAAGTATTAAGAAACAGACAATAGTGATGAAAGCAAATAAACTTCTATCCCAAATAGTGCTCTTGAATTTGTCCAAATGTAATATGTATGGCATAAAACTGTAATGAAATGAGATGGAAAAAAAAGCTTAACTGTGATGAATGGGGATGCATGTAAAACATTGTCTTTAAATTAGTAACGTGCAAGTTCCAGAGTTTATGAAGAAGTTTACAATCCCTGATGACAAATTAAAATTACATCAGTGTTGTGCACTTGCATGGGAGAGGAGGAAAAGCATTGAAGTCTTCCACTGCAACTGCACAGTCTTTTGTTTACAGGCATAATTTCTTCTGAGGTAAGCAAACTATGAATATTGAAGTTATATTGAATGGACAATCTTAACTTTTCAGCCAAAAAGAGAACAATCTTTTCATTACAGGCATTTTTTTTTCTGAATTAAGAAAGTTATAAACATTAGCATCCTAACTTTTTAACAAAATAGGACATCCTGTGGTCCCAGCGCAGACCTTAACTCTCTAAATTTGTTGAAAAATCACTTGTCTTATTCGGGTTCAAGTTTGGCATTCTTTGTTGGCACAGACAAAACTTATTTTTTACTCTTTTGTGATGAGGTTAAAGGCTTAACACCTGAGCTAAGATGAAAATGGCCAGTGAATCCCTGGAGACACAACCTTGAGGCTGAGTTGAACAATTGTGAGCTAAGAAATGGGAAGTGCAGGAACCCAATGCGGTTTATTAAGAGGTAGAACAACAAGAGGAGCGAAAGGTCTTGACAATAAATTTGTTAGTAAGGATGTTTTCTGGCATAAGGACCTGCTCTACCACACCTTTCTCCATTTTACGCCCTCTATTGACTTGTTTGGTAGACTAGTTTTCATCAAAGTGCAGTAAGAAATTTTGAACTTGTCTTGAACTTCCTTTTGGGAAAAGAGAAAATGTGTTTTGGTCGTTTGTTTAATCAACTGATGATAATAAACATTTTTATTCACAACTCCACTAATGGTGCAGTTTTTGTGGCTTTCTCAGTCATTATACCTAATCCTATAAAAAAACTGAGTAAACTGATCATATAACATTTAAAAGAGGACCCAAGACTCAGAATTAACTAGAGAGATCATAGAAGAAAAAAAGATCTATAATTCATCACCGAGCCAATGAAGGTTTGAAAACCTGAAGAACAGCATCACCTGAGGACTGATTTTAGGCTACATTCACACTGAAGGCCTAAATGCTCAATTCTGATCATTTTGTGAAATTTTTTTTGCGTTGACGTTCACATTTCCAAATATATGCGACTTGTATGTGATCCCCTGCGTGAATTGCAGTCATACAGCGCAAGTGTCCCGCATTTAGAGGATACAATGACTTCACAGGCCAGCGTGCACTGTGTTTACGGAAGTAAACATGGATGATAGTGCCGGAGCACATCTAGCAAACTTTCCCAACCATAAAAACACAACCTTTTCAAGATGGTTAAACATAAATACTGCTCTCCGCATCATCGTCTGTTGTTTTCCTTGCAGCTTCTTAATAGCAAGACCCAGAATAGTGACGTTTGCTGGGTATTAACGGCTGTTACAGTCACTGACCTCTAGGAGCTCTCTTCATGAGAGCTCTCTGTTTGTGTTTCAGGTCTTCCTGGCTGTTACAGGTGCAATGTGTTGAAACTCATCCTGCCACCTATATTACCAAGGTAGATCTGCTGAAGGGGCACTGGCAAGTTCCCCTAACTGCCAGGGCTGTTTGTTGTTTTGGCCTTGGAGACCCTGAGGCTTTAAGCTTCCCTGTTTTGCTGTTTGCTTTTTTTGTGACCCCTGCAAATTGTAAATAAATCATATTTTCCTACTGACATCAACTTTTAGTTTACTGACTTTTTTGTTACACCCAATGTCCAGAATTTACCCTTTAGTGGTCTTAAGGGTGGGGGGTTGTAACAACGGCGTTCTGGTCAGATGAATGCCACCAGGCCGTTCAGACACAGGTTGTATTTAAATTAATCAGATTGGATTCATGACCACATAGTCAAGTGGCCTGGGTCCCATTGGAAAAAATCAGAACTGTGTTGTTCAGACTGCCATGAAAAGATCAGATACAGGTTGCATATGGGCCAAAAAAATCGGATTTGGGTCACTTCAGGCTGCAGTGTGAACATAGCCTTAGTCTTCACCACAATTAAGTTAAAGTAGAGACCAAAAACTGTTTTTTCCCTGGTAAAGGTTGTTGGATTTTTTTCTTAAAGCACGGCCAATCAACTTTTTTTTTCTGCTATACTAATGGCTAAATTTAGCTGTATACAATAAGAAATAAGGAATTTTTTCATACTGGCTACAGCTAACAACTGAAAGAAATATTCAATAAAATATCACAAATTAAATTACTTTTGTCTTGTATAAGTACCAAATGAGCAAAAAGTATCAGTAAAACAGGATTTATACATTGGAATAGAGGAATTTTCTTGTCTCCTGAATTTTTACTGATGCACCAACTTCACCAGACTGTGTGGTGAAGTTGGTGCATCTTGAGCTTCTATCAACTGTAACATATTTAAAACATTGTAATTTTCCTTACTTAATATGATAAATATAGGGTTTTTACTTACATGTATGTGGTGTCGGGCTCCAAGCAGCGAATTATAAGACTGATGGAGGAAGATAGTAGGTTTGGGATGTCCCCTAGAATAACACACGGAGACCTGGCCCCAGACAGGATGTCATCCACAAAGCTTAAGAGAGTTTCTGCAGAAAGGAGAAGGAAACAGTGGATTTTACTTCAATATGATAACACATGCAAGACATACTGCTGCTGGTGCTGCTTTGGTTTAGCACCTTTTTCTGTAATACTAAGATGTAATGGAGTTGATGTTCCCTTTAATTTTACATATATCTGGGTATTCACACAAGTACACTGAGGACCACTGTGAATAACGTCAGAATGCGCCCCAGGCTCTCCTATACCTCTGCATTGCAGAAGACCTACTGTGCATTTACAACTTTTAATGAGAGTCAATGGGCATAGTTTTTTTCATTCTAGGGCGGAAATGCATCACCAGTCTGACAAAAAAAAAACAGTTTTATTGGTGAATAAAGAATAAATATTTATCTTGCACATCTAAAACTATATATATCAATATATTTCAAAATACCTTCATTTTATAATTAAATTTTAATCATTTTTTTTTTTTTATGTCTTAATCAAGGTCATTGGGTGGGTGGGGCGGCGCCCTCGTGCCCTTGATTGATCAGCCGCTACTGGTGCTCTGATTGTCTGATCCTGATCGGTTTCTTTGGTTGAACCTTTGAGCCTGCCTGCCCTTGTTTGATCTGTTTGCCTGGCCTGTCTTTAGACTCCTGCATGATTCTTATGTGGACTGAACTGAGATGCCTCTCTTTATCCTCTGACATGGGAGCGGGCTCGGAGCTTGTCCGCCTGGCTGTGTGTTTCCAGGATGGTGCCGCCTGTGGAGCTGGTTTACAGTTGCCCTCTGTATCTCTGCTTCTTTCTGTATGTCTGCTTCTGTCTCCTTGAACCCCAGTCGGCCTCGGCAGATGGCCGCAAATAATGAGCCTGGTCCTACTAGAGGTTTCCTCCTGTTAAAAGGGTGTTTTTCCTCTCTGCTGTCGCTATAAGCATGCTTGGTGTGAGGGACTGCCTTTTAGTCAATGCAATCAACTGGTTTTCCTTAAATAGAAAACTTTGAATCAATTTGACTGTATAATCTGTTTGAGTTATCTCTGTAATGTGCCTTGAGATGCCATGTGTTGTGAATTGGCACTATATAAATAAACTAAATTGAATTGAATTTCCTAGCATCCCTTAGGGAATAAAGGCATGAAGAAAATAGCTTATACATTTATTGCGACTCCAAAGAGTTTTACACTACTCGCATTCATTATGGATGCAAGCTACACTGCTACCCTGGGGTAGACTAACATATGCCAGGTTGTCATACAATCAAAGCAGTTTGACCACCAACAGCAGCCAAGGAGTGTAAAGTGTCTTGCACAAAGACACAATGACGGAGCTGAACAGAGTGAGGTTCAAAGCAGCAGCTCACTTGTTACAGGACATGCCCCTACAAGATGAGCAACCATGTCAAATTCACAGTCACTGTCCACTTCTTCTGTTACATACTATAGGCTTAGTTCAGCAACTGTCCTTAATTTTTCTCTGATTAAACAGATATTTTCTTCTTATTATGATATCCTTATTTTATAAATTTCATACTATAGTATTTTATAGTCCTTATTTACTCTATTCATACTATGCAGGAAGACTTTACTTCCTGCATAGAGAGAGAGTCAGCAATACAACCAACTCTAATACAACCTACTCCACACACTTCAAAGGACACATTCTGCTGCTCTGGCGTCAACCCCTTCACCCCTTCAACATAATAGCTGATGAACTCCCCATAACTGACCTTTTTTTTTTTTTTTTTACCTCTAATTTGCAGGGAATCTTACCTTCTTAAACATCACACCTCATATCTTTCCAAAACATAAAAAACATTGATCCCTCCACTGTCACTTCAAGTATCCACTCTTCCTGCGTCCATGACTTCAATAATCTGTTCACACCTGATGATCTGGTCTCTCTCAACAACACTGGTCTCCATAATATTCCTGACTCACTTGCTCCATTAAAAAAAAGATTTGTTTCTTTCTCTGATTCCACCCATTGGTTCACCCCTAATTTCAGACGCATGAAAGCCAAAGGCCAACTTGAAAGACTTTACAGAAAAACTGGTCTCACTATACACAAAGAAATGTGCAATAATCACATCTTTGACTAAAAGGGCTCTATTGTCAGCACTGAAACACAGTACTATTCCAGCTTCATCACTGCTATTCAACATAGTTGTAAGTCACTTTTCAACTGTACTCAACAATATTATCAAACCTTAGACCTAGACTTGGACAAACTTTATTGTCATTTTATATACGAAGAGTGTATACAAATGACACATACTGATATTCTTAGTTTGATGAAGTCTGTGACATGATTTAGAGTTTTTTCAACATTCAGCTGTCTGATGGCGGTGGGGAAGAAGCTGTTTTGGAATCTGCTGTACCTGCATCGAATGCTGCAAAGCCTGTTCCCAGAGGGCAGCAGGGAGAATAGTCCATGGTGGAGGTGTGATGGGGTCATTGATGATGTTACAGGTTGAGGACACGCAGCGCTGGGATAAAATGTCTTTTATGAAGGGAAGAGGAGCCCCGAGGATCTTCTCTGCAGTTCTCACTACTCTCCCCCCTTCTTCCAGTCTGCGACGCTACAGCCCCCACACAATACAGTGAGACAGCTGGTCAGAACTTCCCCCTTATTATTGACAGCGCCTCCATCTTACCCTCCCCCCAGCTTAAGAGTCTATGTGTCATCCTTAATAGCACCCTATCCTTTAAATCTCTCATATAAATAACATTAGCTGGTCTGCTTACTTCCACTTAAGAAGCATCAAGCCACTCTATCCCTCCCTTACCCAACACACTGCTACCATACTTTTCCAGAGCCTCTGCTCTCCTCTTTGGCCTTCCTCAAAAATAACTCCATAAGTTACATATGGTCCAGAACTCAGCTGACCGCATTATAACAAGAACTCCCTCTATACAACACATCACCCTGATCCTCCGACAACTCCACTGGCTCCCTGTACAGTTCTGCATTCAATATAAAATTGTCATGGTGACATTCTTGGCCCTTCAGCACCTTGCCCCACCATAACTGTCAGGCCTCCTGCATGTTCCCACCCCCTCCCGTGCCCTTAGATTCTCATTTGCTTTACACCTGTCTGCCCCTTCCGCCCATCTCACCACCATGGAAAGCAGAGCATTCAGCCACTCTGCCCCCTTCTCTGGAACTCTCTACCAGCCCTACTTAGGTTTCTAAGGACTCACTTCCCCATTTCAAATCACAACTCAAAACTCATCTGTTTAAGGTTGCCTATTCTCTTTATTATCAATTTCCCTGTCTCAGCCTCTGTATTCTTAAATGGTTATTATTCTGTGTTTTGACATTTCTGCCATTGTGTGTTTATCTTCTGTACGGTAACCTTGAGTGTCTAGAAAGGCGTCTTTTAATTAAAATGGATTATTATTATCATTACTCCTAATTTTGAGATCAGGATGTCGTGATTATGAGAAAAGATGAATTCCATTATTACGAGAAAATGTGTCAATTTTATTTTTCTTTTGGTGAATGAAAAATACTATGTTTAAATCACAGTTTACCTTAACTAGAAACATTATTTTTGATTAAATTATTTTCCAAAAAAGACCAATTTGCCAGCTTACTTTATATAACTGATTATTACTCTGCAGTCAAATCACATATAATGACAACAACAAAAAAACATACAAATACATATTTTCATCTGTAAATAAAACAAACACTAAGCCATCATCCAAATAGTGTTTACTTAGACCGTTATGAGCCTGAGACTAGAGTGGTCAGCAGACATAAACATTGTTCTGCAACAATAGCCAGTAGTACCTAATGACACATCCATGTACTAGGCATTGGAATTTAAATGCTTTATTAATATTATATTCAGATCAATACTCGTTTTTCATTCCTCAAGGAATCAAATAATTTTTTTGCACCTTGTCACACTTTTTGTTTGTCTTGTCACCTCTCCGCTAGGCTATGCTGACTTGCGCTGCATCATTACGTCTGTGTTTAGCAGATTAATCTGCAGCTTCGCCTTTAGTTGTGTGTGTCAATGCTGCCATTGATACACTGAACTCCCTGTGTTTTCCTTGCTGGCACCAGCACATATGTCGAAAGGCCAAATGGCCACCAGGGAGTGAGTTTCACTGGGAAAAAGAAATACCAAACCTGCATGTGTATGAAAGGTGAGCAAAGTGATGGTGGCTCTTATGTGGCCATCCCTGAGCAAACATTGCTTGTTTCTGTATATTTATACATCTCTGTGAGTGTGGATGGCATGAGGTGGTCAGGTGTATTTTTCCTAAACAGCTTATGTACACAAGCACCAGAGGGTGCAAGCAATCATATAGTATATGTGGTGAGTGATGGGCACTCTGTGGTGGTCATCCTCTCATGTCTCAATCCAGTGAGCAACAGTTATGGAAACTTAAAGGGATCAAAAGAGGCTGTGAAACAAAAAGGTGTGTAGTAGCTGACGGAGAGGGGTGTTTATTAAGCACCAAGGACTCTCAGAGGAGTGAAAGACATAAGCATTACTGGAATGACAATGTAAAGCTTTGAGCCACTTAGTTTATTAATTGTAAAGCCTAAAGCCGGGCGTACACTGTGTGAGTTTTTTCAATCGTTGCACACAGCTGCTGCTCACACGTTGCACGTTGGACTGAGCTCGCCATTGAGATGGAGCTGCTCTGACGCGTCTATCTAGAAGCCAAACGAGTAGAAAGGGAATATGAAGCTCACTAGAGTGAAACGCGCAATTTGTGCATTTTTGTGCTGAAAGCCCTCAAAAGAAAAGGCGACAACGTATTTGGACAAAGACATGGCTGAACAAACGTGGCTACTATGGTCTGCCAATTTTACAGAAAGAACTGCATTTCACTCATTACATCCCTGACACGCTGCTTTATTTAAATCTCAGAGGAAGAATAAAAAGAAGAATCCTTGTTCGCGCATGCACACTGAGCGATTTGCCCTTGACAGTCTATATAATAATATATATCAGGAATCGTGAGATCGGGAGCAGATCAAACATGTTGGATTTGCTCCCGATCTCACGATTCCTGATTGG